TGAGGTTTTTGCCCATTTCCTGTTTATATTTCTGTTCTACATGTATCATCTAAACACTCTGTGGTATCGGGTTGCATGTTTGGGGTTTTTGGGGTTTTGTTTTTTTTTTTTACTTTTTTAACTTATTTTATTTATTTATTTATTTATTTAAAGATTTTATTTGACAGAGAGACACAGCGAGAGAGGGAACACAAGCAGGGGGAGTGGGAGAGGGAGAAGCAGGCTCCCCGCCGAGCAGGGAGCCCGAGTCGGGGCTTGATCCCAGGACTCTTAACTTTTATTTTTTTATTGTAAGCTCTACACCTAATGTGAGGCTTGAACTCATGACCCTGAGATCAAGTATCACATGCTCTGTTGACACCTGAGAAATCTGTATCCAGTACCCATCCAGGCATCCCAGGGTTGCATGTTTTTAAACATTCATTATTTGAAAACAAAACAAAACACATTATTTGAATCCTTCAGCTGCTTTTCCTACTTAGCACTTTAAAAGTTTTATCCAAGTTGATATCGGCAGTTCATCCATTTTCTTGATGGGTATTTAAGGTTCCAGTTATTCATTATTAAGGCATGCTGCAGCAAATATTCTTAGCATGTTTTATGCACGTGTGCATTCCTCTATTGCAGTACCTTTCTTTTCATTGTGCCTACAATAAGAAATACATTCCAGTTCTAGCATGCTAGTACATTTTTGCTACAATGTATTTTTAAATAACATGACCTAGTTCACAGATAATTGCTAAGTAGGGCAGTGATGTCAGTATAGCTCAGAAGTTACATTGGTTCATATGTAATTTTTCCTAAAACATTAATATTTTGCACACCCAGTTACCTATAATTTTGTAATAGAGGATGACATGCCTTTAGGTCTAAAATAGGAAGCTGTGGAATGATTGATTGTTTTAATAGGATCACTCAAGCATTAGAACAGGAAGTTAACTGCAGTAATCTGGGCAAAAGTAAATAAATGGTGGCTTGAACTAACCTGTGCTAGTAGGCCATAATGCAAAGTATGAAAGCCTACTTACCCTAGAGAAACACAGGTACACAAGAAGCATTGCTTTAATAGTGGATAACTTCTAGTTATTCAGGTATTTCTAATACCATCAATAGACTGGATAAACTATGCAGTTTGAATTAATTAAAGTTGCATATATCAAGTTGAGTTATCAGACAACCAAGTAGAGATGTCAAATATACAGATGGATACGGAGTTCTGGACAGTTGTACAAGCTGAAGAGACAAATTTGGCAGTCATTAGGATATATTTGCTATAAGCAACAAGACTGGGTAAAATTACCAAGAAAGTATAAATAGAAAAGAGCTCAGAGGACTAAGTCCTGGGAAACTATCATTTAGTTTGGGGAAAGGAGGAAGAACTAACAAAAGAAACTGAGAAGGCAGGGATTTTGTGGAAGTGAAGTATTTTCAGGAGGAGAATACAATCAGTTGTATCAAATGCTGCTGATAATAAGGATGAGAACTTGCTTTAACAACATGGAAGTCACTGATGGCCTTGGCAAGATTTTGAGTGGAATGGTGGAGCTGAAGTCTTGATTAGAATGCTTCAAGAAGAAACAGGAAGAGGTGCCTGGGTAGCTCAATTGGTTAAGCGTCAGACTCTTGATTTCAGCTCAGGTCATGATCTCAGGTTGATATCGAGCCCCATGTCAGGCTCCATGCTGGGTGTAGAGCCTGCTTAAGATTCTCTTTCTCTCTCTCCCTCTGTCCCTCCCCACTCTCTAAAGAAACAATTTTAAAAAAGAAGAAACAGGAAAAGGAAAATAGAACTTCAGACTCCCAGCACATCTGCCTAACTCTTCTTGTGCCTGTAAATTCTTACCTTTTCTCCTGCTACTATGAACGATCTAGCTTTGCCTCTATCTGAGACCAACCCCTGTGTACTTGATTCTGTCTTCACTAACCTAGTATAAAATACAGACCTGGGAAATCTCCCCTCCCTCTTCTACATCGTCTGCTGTATCATTCCCTAGTGTATAAACGTGCCAGGATCTTTCCCATCTTAAAAAAAGATTCTTTCTTGACCGAATCTCCACCTTCAGCGACTGTCTGCATTTTCGTCCCTTTACAGCCAAGCTCTGAAAAACTGTCCTACTGCTATTATCTCATTTTTGTTTCTACTTCATGTTCAGATGCAGGCAAGGAATAAGCAGACAGTTGGGTTTAATCATACTGTGGTTAAGCCATGTGAATATGATGAGATAAAAGAACAAGGGAGTAAAGATTCTCTGCAAGTGTGTAATTTAAGCTGCTTACAGAGAAGGAAGTACTTGAGAGGGGTGAGAGATGTGAAGAGGTGGTGGTATCGGTGGACAGAAGTTCTCCACGGAGGTTGAAGGATTATTGGAGATGAGGTACTAGAGTGACTGAGCTAGAAGGAGAGGTTAGTGGTTAGAGGTTTGAGATCATATTAGAGTCTGAGTTACTTGTAATTAACAAGCTTAAGGTTATGACCAAAAGTTGTAGTTGAGGCAGAAAAGAAGAAAAATAACTGAAAAGCCTTTCAAGTTCAGCCAATGAACTGAGAGGCCAAGACACTGGGATGATCATCTTTGTGGGTATTGAAATCCTCAAGAACTGTAACTGGAATGGTGTTGTAGAGGCTGAGAGTGAGACAGGAACTAAGTTCTTAAAGGACCAGGGGGAATTGAGGGCACTATAGGGTAGAAAATTGCAGTAAGAAGTGCCCAGGTGGCAGAGGGCATGCTCTGAGGACAGGTTTTTAATGGAGGGAGCAGAGGTAAGCAGCCATGAGGAGAGAGGAGCCTGTTCCACCTTCAGGCCCCGTGGTATCAGAGGTGGTGTGGAGAAAACAGCTACCATTTCAGGGGACTGCAGGGGAAGCACTGTCCTCTACAGTTGCAAATTCTGACACGCTTAGAGGGCTGGGTGTTTTCACAAATTAATACTCGTTTTTCTTAAAGCAGAGTCTCACAAAATAGTTTAAACACAGCTTCATGTTTGGAAGACATAGGGAGTGGCAGAGGGATCGTTTTAAAGGGAACAACCTTTATTTTGTGTTGCTGTGAGAGGATTTAGGCCTAGTACTGCCAGATCTTTGTTTTTTTTTCCGAGAATCCAGAACTGGATTTTTGTGTGAAAAAGACTACAACACTAGCTTGTTTACTTATTTTAAAATATTGTGCAGGCCAAATAAACTGTATTTAGCCACTGTCAAAATTTTCTGAATTCTGCTTTTTAAAATAGAAAACTAGTATTTGTAAGTTCATGAGTCAAAGTCCATGATCTTCAACCTGGCTGCCTTGTTGGGTAGCCTGCCACCGTTCAGTCCAGTCTGCAGATGTAAAGGGAGTGACTCTCACAAGCTGATCACCAAGCAGCACTTAAATTACCTGGCAACTTATCAGTTGTTTAATTATTATTACTCAAACAGATCTGATCTCAACCCATATTTTTTTACTTTCAATTCTAACCCTGATAATGGAATTTCCTTGGAAGAGAAACACACTTAACCTTATTTATAGCCAGAACTTTTTTTTTTTAAAAGATTTTATTTATTTATTTGACACAGAGAGACACAGCGAGAGAGGGATCACAAGCAGGGGGAGTGGGAGAGGGAGAAGCAGGCTTCCCGCCGAGCAGGGAGCCCGATGCGGGGCTCGGTGCCAGGACCCTGGGATCATGACCTGAGCCGAAGGCAGACACTTAACGACTGAGCCACCCACGCGCCCCTATAGCCAGAATGAAAAGTAGACCTACAATAAAACTTCTAATGGAAGAAAACTTAGAGGCTCTTTAAGCCCAACAAACCAAACCAAAAAACTAGTTAATTCCTAAATAATTTCAACATTATAAAATCTTTTTTTTTAAGATTTTTTTTTTTTTAAATGAGAGAAAGAGAGAGCATGAGAGGGGGGAGGGTCAGAGGGAGAAGCAGACTCCCCACTGAGCAGGTTGCCTGATGTGGGACTCGATCCTGGGGCTCCAGGATCATGACCTGAGCTGAAGGCAGCTGCTTAACCAACTGAGCCACCCAGGCGCCCCTAACATAAAATCTTTAATGTTGCTTCAATATCTTCAATTTTACTTTAATCATAATGATGACCATACTCCCTTTGTATTGAAACAGAAGTCTAAGGATGGTATTTGGCTCCTTTTGACCTCAGGGAAGCAAACCCTCTGGACTTAGTGTCCTTATCTGTAAAATGGAGATTAGAAATCCATACCCTACCTACTACATAAGGTAGCTATTAGGATCAAATGAGAATGTGGAAAGCTTACCTCTTGACTTTGTATGGCTGCTTTTATTCTGTTAAGGAATAGCAACTTGCTGGATGCCTGGGTGGCTCAGTTGGTTAAGCAGCTTTCTTCAGCTCAGGTCATGATCCCAGGGTCCTCGGATCAAGTCCCGCATCGGGCTCCCTGCTCAGCAGGGAGCCTGCTTCTCCCTCTCCCTCTGCCTGCCACTCCTCCTGCTTGTGCTCTCTCTCTGACAAATAAAAAAATAAAATCTTAAAAAAAAAAAAAAGGAATAACAACTTGCCTAAAGCTAGTGAGATAGTCTATTTAGAAAAAATATTTTAGAGTATATTTAAAATTTATGAACCCCTGAGTATGAGTGGATATATAATCTACTTTCAAAAACAACTTTCCTACTGATAAATGACACTGCTGATGGTATCACTGTGTGAGGTAGTGGCTGAAATGTACCCTTTCTGGGTCTGTAAGCATGACTGGTCATACTTTGGCTAAAAATCCTGTTCATTCAGGTGAGATTTGATACACACTCTTTCTTTGGACCTCCCTTCCCTTCTTACCCTGTGCTCCTTTCTTCATTAAAATTAATAATTATCACTTGAGATTTATATTTAATGTAATGAGTCTTTTTTTTAAAGATTTATTTTTTTATTGAGAGAGACAGAGAGCTGGGGGAGGGGCAGAGGGAAAGGGAGAGAGAATCCCAAGCAGACTCCTGGCTGAGCGTGGAGCCGGACACAGAGCTCGATCTCGTGACCCTGAGATCATGACCTGAGCCGAAACCAAGAGTCGAACGCTCAACCGACTGAGTCACCCAGGCACCCCTAATGAGTCTTTTCTAGCAACATTTAATACACACTCAAAAGAACAAGTCTTAACTGAGAAACACAGGATACCTCCTTTTCACAGTAATTAGTTTAAGTTCCAGTGATGACAACTACAAGGCAACTTCCTCAGAGGAAGCTAAACATTGATGAGTCCAGTGCAGCCAGTATGTTGAATATGAGGTGATAAAAATCTTTATCACATCCAGCTTGACTGTCCTGTAACTTAGTCTGTGTCTTTTGGAATAGTTATTCCTTTTTATTAATTGTATGGTTGTTATACAGCCATGGAAGGAAAAAGCTGAACATCAAAATCATCAACAATATACCTGAAAGACAAAATAGAGTAAAAGAAAAACAATCTAAGGAAGTTCATAATCACTCAGTGGCTATAATTTAAGGTTATATACCTAGAGATTAGGAAGGCTATGTTTAAAAGAATTAGCTGCATCAATTCTACATGAAACATATGGATTTTTTTAATGTAACATTCTCACATTTTTCTTCAACCATGAATCCTTAAAAACATATGTATCTGGTAAAACCAGAATGATCTAAACAGTGAATTGAAAGGATAAATAGATCTGGAGTTCTAGTTCTGGCTCCATTACTGACTTGCTGAGTGAGAAATTCTGGATTTAGGTCTCCATTTGCTCTTCTCTTAAAAGATCAACACTGTCCCTCCATGCCTCAGATATGTATGTACTGGGAGAATAAGGCAACTGAAAGCACTCATGAGTTTTCATTTGGAATGATCAAATATTACTTTCTCCCTTCTCTTTTTTTCATCAGTCACAATATTAATAGCTTTTACAGCTGTACCAAGCAAAATGTCTAAAGCCAAATTTCAGTCAGTGCTGAAATTTTATATCAAATAGAAAATATGTGGGGCACCTGAGTGTCTCAGTCGAGGCTCAGTCAGTTGAGTTTCCAACTGTTGATTTCAGCTCAGGTCAAAATCTCATGGTCCTGGGATCAAGCCCTGTGTTGGGCTCCGTGCTTGGTAAAGAGTCTGCTTGAGGTTCTCTCTCCCCCTCTCTCTCTGCCCCTCCCCCAGCTCTTTCTCTCCCTCTCTCTCAAATGAATACATAAAATCTTTTTTTAAAGAAAATATGTTTAAAAAAAGGAGTCATATATTAGTAAATATTTTTGAGGTCACAAGAAGATAAATCTAGCATGTGGCTATTGGTTAATTTTTCAGTGGGGAAACAGGGCTAGAGGAGACAGCCACAGGGTTCAAATCACTGTCTTGAAAGGGATGTCTGCAATAATTAATATTTTTATCTTAACATATTTAGGCTTAAAGCTCTAAATTAGTTTAAACTCAGATTAAGAATGAGTTTTTGTCACATGCAGATTTGATATTTTTTTACTCCTATTTGGTAACAGCAGACCTTAAGGTTTGACTAGGATTTGGATAGCTTAACATGCCTTTGAAAGAGAAGTCTGTTTTGCAACCAGAGGCTTTAAATGAAAAAAAAACAAAACAAAACAAACAAGCCATATGTTAACTGACCCACAAGATTTGACATTTTCTTTATAAAGTCAGAGCTAGAGAATAAGACATTACATTGAAAATGTTTTCAAAAATGTAATTTCAGTTTCATAGCAAATAGAATTTGCTAATTTTCATTTTATGAATGTGTAAACTAGAGAATTATTTTTTTAATTTTTAATTTTTAAATCTTTTGTATTTTATTTTATTTGTCAGAGAGAGAGAGACAGAGAGCAGGCACAAGCAGGGGGAGTGGCAGGCAGAGGCACAAGGAGAAGCAGACTCCCCACTGAGCAAGGAGCCCGATGTGGGACTCGATCCCAGGACCCCAGGATCATGACCTGAGCCGAAGGCAGATGTTTAACTGACTGAGCCACTCAGGCGCCCCTAGAGATTTAATTCTATATACATTATAATAGTCACATTTCTGCTATTTTAAATTAATTCTGGGGAGGTGGCAGGAGCCCTTATATAATTATCTCTGCTATGAAGAGAAACAAGAAAAACAAGGAGTATGGCTTCCAAGAATAGTAATGCTCCCTGCTTGGTCAGGAAGGGAAAGATATCTTTGGATGACTTTCCTCCATCTCATTCAGTGGCATCACCTAATGTAGCTTTAACGTGGTTTTGTTTGTTTTGATGCTTCATCTTTTATTTAGCTATTTGAAGGACTCTTGTTAAAATACAATTTCTTTTTTTTAAGATATGTATTTACTTATTTATTTAAAAGATTTTATTTATTTGACAGAGAGAAACACAGAGAGAGAGGGAACACCAGCAGGGGGAGTGGGAGAGGGAGAAACAGGCCTCCCGCTGAGCAGGGAGCCCAATATGGGACTCGATCCCAGGACCCTGGGATCATGACCTGAGCCAAAGGCAGACGCTTAATGACTGAGCCACCCAGGCGCCCCTTATTTATTTTTAAGTAGGCTCCATGCCCAGTGTGGAGCACAATGCAGGGCTTGAACTCACGACCCTAAGATCATCAAGACCTGAGCTGAGATCAAGAGTTGGACACTTAGGGTGCCTGGGTGGCTCAGTTGGTTAAGCGACTGCTTTCGGCTCAGGTCATGATCCTGGAGTCCCGGGATCAAGTCCCGCATTGGGCTCCCTGCTCAGCAGGGAGTCTGCTTCTCCCTCTGACCCCCTTACCTCTCGTGCTCTCTATCTCTCATTCTCTCTCTCTCAAATAAATAAAAATATTTTGAAAAAAAAAAAGAGTTGGACACTTAACCAACTGAGCCACCCAGGTGCCCCATAAAATTTTAAGTAATCTCTACACCCAACATGGGGCTTGAACTCACAACCTCAAGATCAAGAGTCACATGCTCTACTGAGCCAGCCGGGTGCCCCTAAAAAGTATAATTTCTTATTTTTCCCATCTTTCTTATAGTTTGTAACTTTATTTCATTTGATGCCATTTTTTTTTTTTTTTTTGGCCAATGGAAACGTAACTTCAATGAATGACAAAATCCAATGCCAAGCTGAAATTCAGTATTCTAAAAAATGCCATTTATTCACATATGTCTTTTATCCATATCTAATGAAGGATTCTTGTATTGCTTTTCATTCCTAAACCTCTTAAAGAAGTGTAGGAACAAGCCTCTAATCCAAGAACTATAAGAAATTTTGGTTAAGTCTATTTGGAAAAAGCTAGGAAATCCTTAGGCCAACAAAGAATCTTTGAATATTTTCAACATTTCAATTAGGGCCAGAGATAATTGCTAAAAAGTTCAATACCAATGCCATTTTTTGGATTCCTTGAATAGGAAGAAAATAAATAAATATATACTTTTTTTCTTTGGGTGTTTGGATTTTTGGGGGGTAAGTGGTTCCATAAATGTTCTGGGAATGGTTACAGTAATGTTACCTTCCTGTTTGGACTATCCTAACATGGACAGAATGTAGTCTGTTTCCCTGTGCTACTACTCTCTGGTCTGCACACTTTTAAAAGGGGCAGAAGTGATTGCTCCTCTTTTTTCTATCATGAGACTTTTTTCCAGTATGTTCTTCCAGGAAGAAGTTATTAAATGATTTAGGCTAGAAAACATTTTTTTTAAAGATTTTTCTAAAGTAATCTCTACACCCAACATGGGGGTCGATTTTAAAACCCTGAAATCAAGAGTTGCATGTTCCACTGACTAAGCCAGCCAGGCGCCCCCATGGCGTTTTGCTTTAAGCAATGTTTTCTGGGGGTGCCTGGCTGGCTCAGTCCATACAGCATGTGACTCAGGGTTGTGAGTTTGAGCCCCCATGTTGGGTGCAGAGATTACTTTAAAAAAAAGAAAGAAAAGAAAAAAGTCATGGGCATTTTATAGAAAATGTCATTTTGATTTTTTTTTCCTTTTAATAATTCTTTTGGAAATGTGCCTGGGTGGCTCAGTTGGTTAAGCATCAGACTCTTGATTTCAGCTCAGATCATGATCTCGGGGTCATGAGCTAAAGCTCTGTATCAGGCTCTCCACTGGGCATGGAGCCTGCTTTGCATTCTCTCCCTCTGCCCCCCTATCCCCACTTGCTCGCATGCTCTCTCCCTAAAACAAACAATAAATAAAAATAAAAATTCTTTTGGAAAGGCCTACCTACATTTTAGTGTTATTTCAAGTAACGGATAATATAATTCTTTTTTTTAAGTTTTTTTTTTTTAAAGTAACCTCTATACCCAACATGGGGCTCAAACTCATGACCCCAAAGATCAAGAGTTGCTCACTCCTCTGAGCCAGCCAGGAGCCCTGGATGAAATAATTCTTTAGTATCATGTTAAAATTGTAGTTGGAGCACAGTAACAAATATAATGTTAATAATATATGTGGATTGCAAATATGACATTTTAAGAGAATCATTCAAATAGAAACTGTCAGTAGACCTATCCAATTAGTGAGTTTTATAACTTCATGAACTTCAATGACTTTTTTAACTTCTTAAAAATCACGAATAGAGGGACGCCTGGGTGACTCAGTTGATTAGCATCTGCCTTTGGCTCAGGTCATGATCTCAGGGTCCTGGGATCGAGTACCACATCGGGCTCCTTGCTCAGCAGGGAGCCTGCTTCTCCCTCTGCCTGCTACTCCCCCTGCTTGTGCTCTCTCTCTCTCTGACAAACAAATAAATAAATCTTTTTAAAAATTCAAGAGAAAATTTAAAGAAGTTATTAGAAAACACTAATCTATAGAATCTATTTTTCAGCTCAGATCATGCTCTCAGGGTCATGAGCTAACTTTAGCTCTGTATCAGAGAAAAATGGCTGCCATTGTTAGCATTTTAAAATACAGACTTTCTCTGGTATTTTTTCATGTTTAGGTCCACAGATATTATTACTGAGCAAAACAGGTACTAAGTGTGAAATAAAGGTATGGAAGGTGAATGGGAGGAGTCAAGTGTGCTGGCTGTTCAAACATTAGGCCAATGTTCCCTTCTATATGTACCCTGATTTTTAAAGTTTTTTTTTTAAATTAACAGAATTTAAACAGAAATGAGCAACAAGAAACAAAACACTAACTGTGGATAAAAAGGATGAACTAATAAAAGCCAGGCATCCTCATAGTCATTTATAGTAATGATTTATAATCAGGCTTAAAAGAGGTGACTAAACAAAATCAAGAAATGCTGATAACTTATAGAAAGAAATGCATATTATAAGAGGAGGTTTGGGGTGCCTGGGTGGCTCAGTCGTTAGGCGTCTGCCTTCAACTCGGGTCATGATCCCGGGGTCCTGGGATAGAGCCCTGCATTGGGCTCCCTGCTCGGCAGGAAGCCTGCTTCTCCCTCCCCCACTTCCCCTGCTTGTGTTCCCTCTCTCACTGTGTCTCTCTGTCAAATAAATAAATAAAATCTTAAAAAAAAAAAAAAGTAAGAGGAGTTTTATATATCTGATCCAGATAGAAATAACAGGAATGAAATTGTGGATAATTTTTAAACTACACTTATTATAGTTATCCATTGTTTCATGAGATGCTCTTTTGCAAAATGAGTCAAATGAGCTAAACAGTATTTTATTTGGAACTCACAAATTTGAAATAAAATTTCCTTTAGCAAGAAAGAAAGATATATATATATTTTTTAATGGAAGGAATCACTCCTCAGTTTTTTGGTCCATATATCTGAGGATTCTTAAAATGGTATCATGCCTGAAACTGACTACCCTTAACTAGATAATTTTATTTCTTTGAAGAAAAAAGTTTTAAAGGATACTGCACAAATAAAGTGTTATTTCAGGTATGTTAACTACCTTTTTCATTTTCTTTTTTGTACCTATTCTGGCTTTGGAAATTGACATGTTATAGTGACATTTCCTATCATTTTAAGATACCCTAATCTTGTAATCATATTAATAAAAATATGCTTACCTAAAGAAGGAGCGAGCCAATATACTATAAAAAATCGAAGGAATGCTTCATCAAAACACTTGAAATGTAGTGAAAGTGCCAAAGCTGGATTAAATACAGCTCCTGTTAGACTTCCTCCTGTAATACATTTTAAGCAGAGTGATACCAAACCATATATTTTACATTTTCTTGTAACTGGAAATAAAGTGGTTACTGGATGTGACTACTTTGTTTTAGGTATTTAAGTATTCTTATGCTATAATCTTCCTTTGCAGAATCACCTGGCATGTTATAGAATATAAAGATAGATTATAGATTATAATGTGCTAGGACATTTAAGAGTTTTAATCCAGTGCTTTTCCTATATTATCAAATGCACATTTGAAAATTAATCTGTTCTATTATTGCTCTTACAAGTTTACAAAACAGGAGATTTGGCTGCCCATCTTAACATTCATCAATTTAAATGAATAAATAATAATGAAAATACATTTAAAATGGATACAATACCCCAGGATCATCGTGGGCTTAAGTACACCTTTGTGTTGAAACAAAAGTAAAATGGACCAAAGTATTATCACTGACTGCATTTTTACTTGTCAACAGAGAGAGCCCTGAAGAAGGGACTGTGAATGGCATGTGAATTATGTCTCAATAAAGTGGCTACAAAATTTTCTAAATAAAAAAAGTGATCATGTATAGTTGTGAAAGGTAAGCACAATTTCTAGCTGTTGATTGCTTTTCAGGACTCATGGTCCAGCTCTGCACCCAGGTTCTCTCTCTGACATGGAGCCTAGGAGTTTAGTTCTGGCCACACAAGCAAGTAAGGAAAAGCAGAGGAGGCTGGACTTCCTTTCCAATGGTACCAGAACTGTGGCTCAGCTTTTTAGAACACACCCTAAAATTTTCCTGAGATAGTGACATTTCCATTCTTCCATGTAGAAGGTTGGGCATACATATCTGCCTCTGACTCAGCTACAGAGATATATCCCGAGATCTTCACAAATTTTACCTTGACATATGCCTCTATAGCATGCTGTCTTCGTAAAATGAGTAAAATTGGAAATTAAGCAACCCTTTCATAAGATTTCACTAATAAGATGTCACACTTGATAGGCTGCACTGAAGCTGTGTCGAGATGAAGGTGTTGAGCAGTGAACTAAGTTCACTCCATGGCTAAGAGTTTTTTCTAGCACACAGGCCTTACAGTGTGATTCATACTCATGTCTCAGCAATTATAAATGATAACACATCATGGACCTTCAGAATCACTTTTTTTTAAGATTTTATTTATTTATTTGACAGAGATACAGAGAGAGAACAAGTAGGCAGAGAGGCAGGCAGAGGGAGAGGGAGAAGCAGGCTTCCCGCTGAGCAGGGAGCCCGATGCAGGGCTCGATCCCAGGACCCTGGGATCATGACCTGGGCCGAAGGCAGCCACTTAACCGACTGAGCCACCCAGGTGCCCCCAGAATCACTCTTGAATATCGTCAATCCTGGAATGTTAAAGCTGCAACTGCCAAGGACAAACAGAATTGTTTGGTTGGCAGGTGGTCACTTAAGTTCAATAAAAGAATTGAGTTCCTATATAGTAGACATCATGGGCAAAAGATAAGGACTTACACAGGTCTTTACAATACAACGTAATATGTGCTATGATAATACAAGTGACCTGTGTTTTTTTTTAGGCATGTATAAGTAAAAATAGACTGAACCATTGCTCTCATAATTAGTTTACTTTGGTGTTCCCATTAGGCCTTTGCTATTTCCATTAGGTCTAAGAACACTGTCCATCAGTCTTATACCATCCTAAAATTCAAACTACTTTACTCACCTTATCTTCTAATCCTCACATCTCCAGTTCTGCTGAGTGTGATGTTGTGGAAGCTGCTCCTCCCACGTTCCCCTCTTGAATATGGACTGGCTTTGCAATTTGCATTGACAAATAGAATGCAGCAGAAGTGATTCTATGCCAATTCTGAACATGACAAGTGACAGTGAATTCTAGGTTCAGGTCTCAAAAAACCCATTAGCTTCCACTTTTTGCTTTCTCGGAACAGTGCCCTGGCCATGTAAGTAAGCTGGTCTAGGCTGCTGGAAGATAAGAGGCCACATGGAGGAGAACTGAGGCATCTTAGATGACAGCTGCCACTGGACACATGAGTGAAGACACCTTAGCTTTTCCAGCCCCACCAACTGTCCAGCTATATTATATGGTCTCAGAGGAATTTCCCATCTGATCCACAGAATCATGAAAAACTATAAATTATGATTTTAAGCTATAGTTAGCTGATACACGGGGCACCTGGGTGGCTCATTTGGTTAAGCATCTGCCTTCGGCTCAGGTCTTGATCTCGGGGTCCTGGGATCAAGCCCTGTGTTGGGCTCCCTGCTCAGCGGGGAGTCTGCTTCTCCCTCTACCCCTTCTGCTCATGCTCTCTTTCTCTCTTGCTCTCCCTCTCTCAAATAGATAGATAAAATCTTAAAAAAAAAAAAGCTGATATAGAAATTCATATCAGGAGTGGGTTCTGTGCCAACACAAGCCCAGGGGGTTCCTGGATGGCGTAGTCGATTAAGCATGTGACTCTTGGTTTTGGCTCAGATCATGATCTCAGGGTCTTGAGGTAGAGCCCCATGTCAGGCTCTGCACTCAGCGTGGAGCCTGCTTGGGATTCTCTCTCCCTCTACCCCTCCCGCACATATGCACACGCAGGCTCTCCCTCTCAAATAAATAAATCTTAAAAAAAAAAAAAAAAAGTCCAAAGCATGTGGCTTCGGCTTTGACATTTCAGATTATATAGCTCTTTGTTGGGGGCTGTCCTATGCATTGTGGGATGTTTAGCAGCATCCTTGGTCCTTAACCACTAGATGCCAGCAAATTCATCTCCCCTACCATTGTTAACAACCAAAATTGTCTCCACACATTGCTGAATGCCCCTGGGGCGGAGTGTGGGGGGGTTCCTGTTGAAAACCAGAACTACTGAGTTGTAGAGAACTACTGATACTTGCATACAAGTAGACATATGCAATGTTGTTTATAGTAGCAAAGAACTGGGAAAACCCTGACTGTCCATAAGAAGATAGCTAAATAAACAAGCTTATTAATTTGGAATAACATTCAATATTTTGAAATAATCAGAGAAATCTCTTTACTAATTAACATTGGTAGGTCTCCAAGATACCACTGAACTACTACCACCAAGAAAAGCAAACTGCAAAAAGTAAGATATGATACCTTTTATGTTAACATGAACATACCTAAACAATAGTTTCTATAGGGTCTTATCTATATGTCTAATAAATCACATAAAGAGTTTGGAAGGACACACACATGCATGTGCAGAGGACTACCCTGGTGGGAAGATTAGACAGAGAAGGAGAAAGGACAGGCATGGAGGCTGGCAGTCAAAAGGCCCTTATGGTCTCATTGGTAGTGTTTTAATTTTTAACAAAAAGAATACATTCATGCATTGTGTAATTAAACATGAATTATTTAAAAAGAATCATCTACCAGGCACAGGACTAACAAAATACCTTTGAAAAATATTATTTATTGACATTCGAAGGGGAAAAGACATAATAATATATGTCCAAGAAGAGATACCAATGCGAAGACAGAGCTGGCTGATCGTCAAGAGTCTTACAGGATAGCCAGAACTTGGCGAAATTACCACAGTTAAAGACTGTGTCAAAGTCCAAGTTCCAAATCTGGCAATTCTAGATGCTAATGTTACTCAATACTCCTAAAGGAAATCAAATTCTCCGGGACAGAATGACACTAGTTAAAATCATAAGACTCCTGAATAAGCCAGAATGTTAATTAACTAATTTAGAGTGGAGGCTAGCCCTTTCCAGTGACTAGAATATTTGTGCCAGGTACTATGCTAACTTGAAATACGTTATTCTATTCCTCATAATGGTCTTAAGAGAGAGATAGTATTATTCTCCACTTTAAATATGAGGAAATGAGGCCTAAATTGAGTATCTCTTCTAAGGGTACAGTACAACTCTAAACCTGTGCACTTAGCCACTACATTAATAAATAAATGTTCTGGACCTTTGTTTGAAGTGATTTTTCATTGTAAATAAGTATCTATTTCATATAGTTATTACATTAAAAGCAAATGTATGTAAAGGACTTAGTTCCCTTCTCCTTTGACAAGTAATCTTACCTATGTTCTTCATGATTTAGAAGGATGCCAAAAACTGAATGGAATAATGAAATGAAGTAAAAATACTACAATTTCTTCAGACAATTAGGCTTATTTTGAAAGCCCTTAGACATAAAATATAAAATGTCCAGATATATATTATTTTTTTTCTACATGATTTTTTAAAGTGAATATGAGTATTTGATTTGTAACAGGTGATACAATGCTAAGACCTGGTTATATGTTATAATGAATAAAATAACTTTAGTTTCTGTAGTCATAAAGCTTACTGTCTGTTGGAAGAAGACATCAGAAGACAAGTGTATAATTAAAAATTCTACAAAGGAAATGAACAGGTGCAATAATAAAGACAACTTAGATGTATAAAATAACAGATTTTTTTCAGTGTCTATTGTTGACCCTTGAACAACATGGGTTGAGATGCACAGGTCCACTTATATGCAGATTTTTTTTTTTAAATACCATACAGTACTGTAAATTATTTTCTCATGATTTTTTTTTAAGATTCTATTTATTTATTTGACAGAGAGAGACATAGCAAGAGCAGGAACACAAGCAAGGGGAGTGGGAGAGGGAGAAGCAGACTTCCTGCTGAGCAGGGAACCCGATGCGGGGCTCGATCCCAGGACCCTGGGATCATGACCTGAGCCGAAGGCAGATGCTTAACGACTGAGCCACCCAGGCACCCCTATGATTTTCTTAACATTTTTTCCTCTAACTTACTTTATTGTAAGAATACAGTATATAATACATACAACATACAAAATATGTGTTAATCAACTGTTAACAGTAAGGCTTCCAGTCAACAGTAGGCTATTAGTTAAGTTTTGAGGGAATCAAAAGTTATACATGGATTTTTGACTGTGTAGGGGCTTAGTGCCCCTAACCCTTGCATTGTTCAAGGGTCAACTGTAATTAAAAATGAATGCAGGGGCCCCTGGGTGGCGCAACTGGTTGAAGGTCCGACTCTTGGTTTCTGCTCAGGTTGTGATCTCAGGGTCCTGAGATGGAGCCCCTCATCGGCTCCATGCTCAGTGCAGAATCTGCTAAAGTTTCTCTCTCCCTCTGCCCCTCCCCCCTCTCTCTAAAATAAATAAATCTTTTTTAAACATGAATGCAGTTCCCTCTTACCCTGTTCATTGAGCCAAATTCTCCCAAAACCTAAATTAAGGAGATTTGCTTGAAATCTGCATTAATAGTTTTATAGCTCTAACATGTTAATAAATTACATCCTAGCATGCAACCATGTCAAATCAGTACCAACAGTACGTTAGACGTTAAAAAAGAAAAAGACGTATCAAAGTAACTTCTAATGAGACTTGACTTAGCTGACCCCTCCCCCTGCCTTTTCTCCCCTATCCATTCTTAAATCCTTCCTACAAAAGCCTTACCTCTCTCTGATATGACAGAAATTCGATCACTCCCAAGAGAGTTCATTCTACCTGGAACAACTCTGGTCTAAAGTTATGACATATCCACAGAAAATAATGCAGAGTTATGGCTTAGTGTATTATTACCCAAAGTATGTTCTCTTCTGCTACATACTCCTAGACAAAAGGATTCCATAAGTTTGAAAAACTGTTCCACATTCTCCTTTTGGGGTTTCACAATATACAGCAGCTTAGAAAAGGCTCTGTAAAGTTTTAACATTAGAAAATCTGTTTAATCCAGTGTTTGCCAGACTTACTTGGCAAAAGAATCCTTTTGCAACTTAATTTTTTTAAAATTATGGTAAAGTATATGACATAAAACATGCCATTTAAACCCTTTTCAAGTGTATATTCAGTGGCATTAATTACATTCACAATGTTCAACTATCACCACAACTTCCAAAACTTTTCCATCACCCCAAACAGAAACTCTGTACGCTGTATCCATTAAAGGATAAGTCCCTACTCTTCCCTGCCCCCTAACCCCTGGTAACATCTATTATACTTTCTGACTCTATGAATTTGCCTATTCTGGATTTTTTATATAAGTGGAGTCCTGCAACATTTGTTCCTTTGTGTCTGGCAAGGTTCATCATCCATGTTGTAGTATTTATCAGAACTTAATTCCTTTCATGGCTGAATAATGTTCACTTGTATGTACATATTTTTGTTACTTTTGAGGAGTGCAGTGTAGAAATGCTGATAATGAAATGAGAATAAGCTTTAGTGTCAGTTTGAACCATGATTCCAGCACATTCTAGACGTGTGACCTTGGACAAGTCATTCCACTTTTGTGAGCCTCAGTTTACTTAAAATGGGAGTAATGTATTCATTAGTGAGTTTTTTTAAGGATTAACTAAGATAACTCGTATAAATTTCCTATGTGCTTATTAGTATACTGCCCAATGAATACTCTTACCTCCCTTACATTGACAGAAAAGGAAAATCATAATAGTATCAATTTCTGTAACAGTAGTAATCCACAATTGTCTATTAGGTTCTGCCCCCGCAGTCTCCAGTGCTGTTTGATACTGCACCCATTAGCCATGTGTGGCTATTGACCACTTGAAATGTAGCTATTGCAACTGGGGAACCAAGTATTTCATTTTAGTTAATTTAAATCTGAATAACCACACGTAGCTAGTGGCTTCCGAATTGGCCAGCACAAGTCTGGATGAGAGCAGTGGTTCTCAACTCTGGTTTCATACTGGGATTACCCGGGAAACTTTAAAATACACCATTAATTATATAAGTACAGAGCTAAACTGTGGCATAACTTTTTGCAAGGGATGATTATCTTCATATATGGGGCATGTGTCTGCTTTAGCCCAAACCTAAAACTCTAATAAATAAGCAACTATTCACCAAACCCTCAAATATACATAAATCCTTTCCTCTCTTCTCTACCCTTTATTTCCATCTGTGTCTACACAAAGAATAGTACTAGATCTAATGGATGGAAAATGGATTGGAAAGTCTTTCATTTTTATCCTGGGAAGTCAAGCAAATGTTTAGAAGCCTTTATTTTGAGGTTTACTTCTACTTATAGTTTCACTTTCAGTGGGCAGAAGATAGACCATTACCACTAATTTCCTTTTATTAGATTCCTGCCTCTAAAACATTTTATATAGTCCCAGTGAAGCTACTTTGTTGCATTTAAAATGACATATTTCATCATTAAACTTTTGTTTTTTGGATTTCCTTGTCCCCTTTAGGATGTCCAAGGTATCCACTGCATCTGAGATCTGTCAAAGTAAACCAATGGTTTGCAAGAAATCAACAGATTTCTCGAGTTAGTTTTAAAAAGCATATTTAATTTCAAGCAAGTTTTAATTTTAAAACACATCTTTTGTGATAGGCCACTTAAAAGTTCACTTATAACTCAAGATGAATTATTAAGGAAACAAGAAATGACTTTAATTTTGTACAAAAAGAACTAAGAAACAGAACTACCGAATTTCTACTCCTCCCTCTTACTATTAACCAATCATGTAGTTTGTGCTTTAAATTGAAAGGCACTTTTTAAACCCATGATCATTTTTCAGGTTGACATGAGGAAAGAAGTAGCTGATATCTTTTCTCTCCACCATTAAAACAATCCCTTTGTAGGTTATTTGAACCCTTGGCAATATTTCACAAGATCTCAGTTTCAGCACAGAAACGTCTCCTGTTGCTGAGGGTTCAAAAAAGCACTGAATGGAGGATCTGTATGTCTGCACTATTGGTAAAGAACAGGCTGCAAAATGGTTAGAATAATGGGGATACCAATATTGACATCGCAGAAGTGTAGGGGTTTCAAATGTATCTTGGTAAAGAACTTAGCGCCTCGGGTCATAGAGGCTTCGGACGTGCCAAGTGTTTTGTGGGAATAACAAACCTGCGTAGACCAAAAAGGTGGTGAGTGCTGCCAGCAGGTGGATACGAAGCTTGGTTCGGATCTCCTGGAAGTGCAGCAAAGCGCCGTGGAAGATAAAGGAGCAGATGGCTTCTATGATGACCGCTTTGGGCAAGTCGACTTGAATAGGATTCCTGCAAACGAAGGTCCTCTCGTTGAGGTGATACTTGGTCAGCCCCAGGCTCCACAGGGCGCTTATGCAGTACCTGCTGCACATGGCACCAATCAGCTGAGCCAACAGCCTAATCGCACCCGTCTCGGGGGACATTCCCCCCAGCAACATCTGCATCATCACGCCGCACGGGTTGCTAGAGGTGCCCACCAGAGTCAGGCCGTGCACCAACGAGAAGAAGTAGATTAGCGACAGCGGCCAGGTGCGGTGCGCGGGTTCCTGCTCGCTCAGCAGTTGCAGCTCATGGGTGCAGCAGCAGAGCTGGAAGGTGGCCAGAAACTCCAAGACGAAGGTGTGGGCCATCATGAACCCGTGCAGCTGCTGCCGGGTGACCACGCGGGCCAGCCCCATGAACAGCACGAGCGATAGCATCAGCCCCAGCGAGGTGCAGATGTCCTGCGCCTCCGGCCAGAGGCCCCGCAGCGCCGTCATGGCTCGCTCCCGGCCAGACTACGCTGCCTGCTTGGCTTAAGCAGAGACAGCGTCAGGGTAGGAGTACCAAGTCCTAACTTGCAGCCCCACCCCTCCTCCCGCCCCGGAGGCGGACCAACTCGTGGCGAGCTGGCGGCTCCTGGGCGTCACGCTAGAGGACTCCTCCCCCCCTCCCCGGCGCGGAGCTAAGGTTTTGGGACCAGAGCCGGGGAGGAGAGGAGGGGAAGGGCGGCAAGGGAAGCTCTGCTAGGGGGTACCGGCTAAAAGGCCAATAGTCAGCGGGAGTCGGACGCGCACACGTCCCCGCCGCCTCCCGGAGCGACTGGAAGCTGGCGCGGGTGGGGGAAGGGCGCGGAGGGACGCCGCGCGCCGAGCGCCGGGGCCACTGCGCATGCGCGCGGGGACCCGTGAGCCCTTGCGAGCGGACTCCCAGGATCCCGGTCCTGGCGCCAAACGGAAAGGTTCGCGTTCCCTGAGATTTGACATTTGCTTTGAAGGGAAGACCTTGAAGGCTTTTCTTCCCTGCTCCTAAAACGGTAAAACCGTCCCGCTGGAGACACTCCTAGAGATAATCTCGGCCAACCACCTCGTTTTTATTAATGGGGCGACTGAGAAGACGGGAGGTGACGGAGGTGGGGCGCAGAGGCCATGGGTAGTTAAAGGGAGTAGACTTTGGAGTCGAACGAAACCGGGAGTAGACTTTAGAGTCGAACGAACCGGAGTTTGATCTCTGTGAACCAGGGCATGCACCTGGGTTTCCTTGAGCTTAGTTTTCCTCACCTACCTCATACAGTTGTGGGTTATACGCCCTACCTCATCGATTTGTTTTAAAAAGCATGAAAACAATAGCACAGAGAGCCAAGCACGTAAAAAGTGTTCAGTAAGTGCTAGCTTTAAGTCTGATGATGCCAGAGTCCATGGCTTTTGCCACCGCAGCCCACTCCCCAACAGCTCGCCTATCTGGGGCTGCCCATTGTGGGCGAGCTGGGAGAGAATGTCAGGGATTCCTCAGACCTTGCAGCAAGTCTGGTTTTGTGCTAATGCCATAGGTTCAGGGTTTAGTGTTGCGGGGGTGGGGAGGGCTCAAATGCCTCAACCCTCTCCCACCTCAGTTTTGCCTCCACCGGGCTGTGTTGACCAAGAGTCCACATTTCTTAGAGCTGGAGAGAAGGGAGAGAGCACAAAAATGAGGGGAATCATTAGCCCGAGCTTCAAGCGATAGAGTATTTGGCAGGTGTTCTTGTTGATTCTCTTCAGCTTTCCTCCCCAATCTCAATTGTCCTTTTATAACTAATGAAAGTTCTCTTTATAACTCCAAATTTTCTGTGGTGCCAATAGACATTCTCTGAATTAGAAAATAAATAGTTGCACAAAACTCACAAACTATGTACAGAAATGAAGCCTTTTCCTCTTTCTGTATTGATGCCTGACCAGAGATTTTGAGTAAATAAAAACTATTTTTTAGTTACTGCTGTCTAAAGAGGTTGCTTTTAAATCAGTCCTGTGAGTGTAACCCTTTCATTTTTCCCCTTTACTAAAAAGTCACTTGAGAATTAATGTGAATATATTTCATTTACTGCTCTGATGATAATTCACTTTAGCAAGAGCTATGTACAAAACTTAGTCTTTTGGACTTTGATCAGAAATTTTATTTTACTTTTTTTATAGTATGTTTAGAGATTTTAATATATGTTGTCATTAAAAAGACTTTGGACATTGTTTTGGTTAGAGAGCAAAAGCAGAATAAACCCAATTAATTACTTTTAATCGAGTATTTCACATCACATAAATCAATCTCTATTTTCAGAAACAAGAAATCACTAATTAATCTCCTAATTCCTTCAGCAAAAATGTTTGTTGATATGGGTGACAGAGCCGCATCTTGCAAATCCAGATCTCAAAATTCCAGTTTTCAAGATCAGTGTCTTCATGAGAATGACTCTTAAACAGGTTAAGAAGATAAGAGTCTGGCTTCCCCTGCAACTTTGGTCCAATTTTAACCACTTTGCTTCTAGGCATTACAGAGGTATTCTGGCCAGGAAAAAATACAAACTTATTTTAGAGTGACCAAATAGTTACTAAGGGAAAATTCTTTACAGAGGAAATTCAGTTGATAAAGGCAGAAGAATGATGGATTTAGAAAATCACCAATTTGCAACCCCTAATGAATTTTAATAGACAAGGAATATAAAAATGTGGAAGACTGATGGTAAATTTATAAACCCACTGACCGACCAATTTTAACATCGCCCAAAGTGAAACAGCTATACATTATATGCCTCAAGTACAGAGCAACACTGGGCGCCTGGGTGGCTCAGTTGTTAAGTGTCTGCCTTCGGCTCAGGTCATGATCCCAGGGTCCTGGGATCGAGCCCCGCATCGGGCTCCCTGCTCCGCGGGAAGCCTGCTTCTCCCTCTCCCACTCTCCCTGCTTTTGTTCCTTCTCTCGCTGTGTCTCTCTCTGTCAAATACATAAAATCTTTAAAAAGAAAAAAAGTACAGAGCAACACTCATGCAGTATTTTGCCTAAGAAAAAAAATAAGCTAAATCTAATCAAACGTTTATTTTTTTTAAAAAGATTTTATTTATGGGGTGCCTGGGTGGCTCAGTCATTAAGTGTCTGCCTTCAGCTCAGGTCATGATCTCAGGGTCCTGGGATCGAGCCCCGCATTGGGTTCCCTGCTCAGTGGGAGGCCTGCTTCTCCCTCTCCCACTCCCCCTGCTTGTATTCCCTCTCTCGCTGTGTGTCTCTCTATCAAATAAATAAAATCTTTAAAAAAAAAGATTTTATTTGAGAATGAGCACAAGTGGGGGAAGGGCAGAGGGAGAAACAGACTCCCCACTGAGCAGGGAGCCATACATGGGGCTGGATCCCAGAACCCTGGGATCATGACCTGAGCCAAAGGCAGACACTTAAGCAACTGAGCCACCCAGGTGCCCCTCTAATCAAACATTTAAACGTAACTATCAATTTACAGGAAATGCGGGGGATAGAGGAACAAGTTAAATGACACCAGGTAAAAGCAATCAGCCAAATTCAGAGTGTGGGACATTCTACAGAACAAATGACTTGGCTCTCTAAAAATCAATGACTCTGTCAGCTAGGAGGGCCTAGAAGTTAGGACACCCCAGTAGCAATGAGCACACCTAGTGTCCAGATCTTGGTTTCTAATTACATTCTCTATGTTCCATAAAAGGAACCAGGGCCTCCTTGGAGAAAATGCTGATTCAAGGACTGGGACAGGAAACAGAATGAGCCTGGAGCATCTTGCAATGCCAGGAAGTAAGAAAGTCCCTAAAATTAAAAAAAAATAGTAAAAATTAAAAGATGGAGGTATGTCAAAGGGACACAGGAGACAAGTGAAAGCTGGCCCAAACTAGACAGTTTGAACAACAGGATAGAGTAGCATTGGATTATAACTCCAAGTATAAAGCAAATATCCACGAAGCCATACTTTTTTTTTTTTTTAAAGATTTTATTTATTTATTTGAGAGAGAGAGAGATAGAAACAGCACGAGAGGGGAAAGGGTCAGAGGGAGAAGCAGGCTCCCCGCTGAGCCGGGAGCCCGATGTGGGACTCGATCTCGGGACTCCGGGATCATGACCTGAGCTGAAGGCAGTCGCTTAACCAACTGAGCCACCCAGGCGCCCAACGAAGCCATACTTTTATACATAAATGATTGAATAAGGAGGCTGAGCACAGCTCTTTGCTTGTTAAGTGTGGACTGTGCATATTGACTTCTTTCAAAGAGAGTAGTATGGAAAGGTGTGGTGGGAAGATGAGAAAGAAATTTTGCAGTGGAGAAACCTGACAAACACTACCTTAGCTAGATGATCAAAGTTAATATCAACAGTGATGTCATGTTGATAGTGTGTACCCTTGAAAGGGTGTAATGAGAATGGCACTTTTGTGGTTTCTCCTTTCCAAAACACAAAACCCCAATATAATCATGAGAAAAACATCAGAGAAATCCCACCTTAGGGACATTCTACAAAATGTTCCTACTGATGCTCCTCAAAATTGCCAAAGTTATAAAAGAGAAGTCTGAGAAACTCATAGCCAAGAGGAGCCTAAGGAGATAATGATGACTAAATGTAATGTAGTGTCTTGGGGTGCCTGGCTGGCTCAGTTGGAGAAGCATGGGACTCTTGATCTCAGGGTTGTGAGTTAAGAGATTACTTAAATAAATGCACTTAAAAAATAATAAATGTAATGTCTTGGATGGGATCTTTGGACAGCTAAAGGACATTAGATAAAAATTAGGGAAATCTGAATAAAATAGTAACACTAATATTGGTTCATTAATTATGACATGTTTCATAGTAATGTAAGATGTTAATAGGGAAAACTGTGGGGCATGTAGGAACTCTCTGAACTATGTTTGCAACTTTTCTGTAAATCTAACTTTTTAAAAAAAGGTTTTATTTGAGAGAGCAAGAGAGAGAGCACGAGGGTGGGGGCGGGCCGAGGCAGAGGGAGAAGCCGACTTTGTGCTGAGCAGGGAGCCCAATGTGGGGCTCCATCCCAGGACCCCAGGGTCATGACCTGAGCCAAACGCAGATGCTTAATTGACTGAACCACCCAGGGACCCCTATTTTTGTTTATTAATCTATAACTAAAATAAAAAGTTTACTAAAAATAAATAAAATAATATCACATACACAGAATAGAAAAAATAGGAGTTGCTGTTAAAAAAAATTTTTTTTTTTTTTAGTAGAATTGAAACACCAGGTGGTTTCAGTAGAGCCCAAGTTGGCACTTGTGATTCTAGCAATGACAATGATGTAGGAAAGACATTAGGGTTTGAAGCCGATGTCCAAGAAAGAATTCTTGAGACATCTTTGGTGCAAAAAGGTGGTTTTATTACAGCACGGGGACAGGACCCGTGGGCAGAAAGAGCTGCACCGGGGTCATGAGGAGTGGCCCGTTATATACTCTCAAGTTGGGAGGGGGTTAGGGATAGCGGAAGTCTCTAAGGAATTTTGGAAGCAAGGTTTCCAGGACCTTGAGGGGGCTAGCTATTGTTGGGAAAAGGTAATTTATTACTGTCTAATAAAACCTTAGTCATGAGACCCTTCAGATGTGTATCAGTGGGCCATATGCTTGGGGGATGATTGCCAACACATATCTTGGGGGGTTTAGAAATAAAGGAAATTTCCAAAGGAATTTTTACATGTTAAAGGAGACTTACAGGATCCTGGAGGTTGGGGGGGGGGGG